TAACTCGTCATACAAATTCATACGTTCATCTAAGTAAATAATTTATACAATGTAATTCGTTATTATTAGGTATATAAACAGAAACTTTTTAAATATAAATATTACAAAACTGAAAAACCAAATGATATATCGAATCGTAGAAAATTTGAGTTCGAATAATACAATGTTTTCTGATAAATAAAACTATAACAAACCAAAGTTCATGATTGGGGTTAATAACAAAACAAATAATAATGTTCATCGGGAAGATATAAAGGTAAATAATAAAATAAGTTGATACAATTGTGCTTTATCCGTACAGAGTAGGTAAGTTGTGAAGTGTTACGCAAGGCGAGGCGGCGGCGAGGCGGCGGAGTGGCGGTGGCGAGGTGACGCAGGCGTTGTTAACTTTACCGCGGCAGCAGCTGTACGCTCCCCTGTTACCTGGCCTATATGCCGCACGTGTTGTATGTGCTTGCCCTCACTCTTGGATAAATAGTATTTTAAGTCCTCACATCCGGAGTTGACGCATGTACCCGATTGCATGAAAAATACTTCGCTCGCTTCCATTGTACCTAAATTTATTCGCGGTTCCCGCTTTAGGTTTATTATTACTCTTGTTTGTTTGATTTTCTAGTATATCTAATATGTAAAAGGTGAAAAATAACTTAATACCATCAAATCGCCTGTTCGCTGATCACATGTAAGTGCCACATAACATTAACACCTGCCCGGGACTTCCGATAATAGTTTGTCCTGTAACATGATCCTTTAGGGATCCATCCGAAATGTATCCCCGAGATCTAAAAGCAACAAATAAAACCGTTGCGTTAGCCAGACTCTGCTTGCATTGAAATTTACAATGTCTGTATATGGTGATTCGATTTGATTTCATATTCATACAGGTACAATCAGTTAGTTGACGAATAGATCAGAATTCGATCGGTGACAAAAGAAATCAGACCAAAAGCTAGTTTATATTTATATTGAATATATTAAAAACTTGTTTTCAGTGGTATTGTACTGGACAAAATCATTGCGGGGCTACAAACGAGTCTCCCTTTTGAAAGTCAACAAAATAAGCAATCGGAAGCTCGGGGCAGGTGTGCCCGATCCCTTTCCCAGGACGATATTAGTAGCGTCTATTACAAAAAGTCGTTCACGAATTAATTAACATAATATTTAATGAATCTGGTGCTACTGGTACACCAAATCCGTTATAGATATTGATAAATGGGCGACCTCACTGGTGTTAAAGTATGCACTGGGAAAAAAGTTTTATTTGTGTATTCATAAGCTTATAATATTATCGAATTAATCAAAACGAGCAACGGACAAGTAATCGTATTTTGTGTCTAATGTTAGGAGGAAGAGCGGCATGATAGTTGCTATAAATATTGTTCCACCCACTATTACCACATATACTTAGCGAGATATAGTTGAGAGGGGAGAGGGCACCATTGAACACCCTTTCGCCTAAATATAGGTGTGTCGTTAAGGTCATATTTTATAACGGTATACGATAATAATTTTTAGACTATTTGTACTAGATTTTAAGAAATAGTCGGCGTTTTCAACAGTTAAATATTTTATACATCTAGTATTAATTCTCCTAAAAACAATAATTTAATTATTTTAAGTATTAATTTGTTTCTAAATATTTTTTTTGAGGATAAACATCTTAACAGTACAAGATAACATTTATCTTTCACGTGCTATTGTTTTGTTTATAAGAATATTTTAAAAAATATTGAATTGGAATGTGTATTTCTAGTTAGTTAAATGTCTTATAAGAATCGGTTATTTTGTTACATAACACAATAATCTATTGTATACATGAATATGCTTTATAGCTAAACTATCAACAATGAACCATGTGCTAAATATAACAGAGAATGTTTTTTTTAATCTATCATAAATCGCAGAATTAAATCAGATACTAGACTGATTGATTTAGGCAATATGCAAACTCACAGTTACGCAAACATAGCTTATTTCAATTAATATGCCTATTTAAAAAATAATTAGAGAAGAGCATGAAACATCTCACGGAAAGACTAGTGCGTGTAACTGTCAGAAATTATAACAAGATCGACGCTTGTTTGTATGTTGTTTCTCCAATGTAGTGTTTCTTTATGAGAATCAAAGTATGAATCAGTTACGAACTCGTTCAGTAGACGCATCAAATAAACATTTAGAAGGGAAGTGTGCGTGCCACTTGGATGATTTCTTTACGATATGATATTAGTACTCAGTAATGAATGGGTGAGAGTTTTACGATGATCGTAAAGAGACACATGCGGTCTGCGACGCGAGCCGCGGTGACGAAGCGACGCGACGGCAAGACGCACATATTGCCCACAAGTGCACGTATCGACCTGTATTTTCTATCATTAACACATAAAACGTATTAATTAGAACCACATGCTCGCCATTACACTGACATTAAATAGAATCGCTCTAAAACTTCCTCCAATCTCGGACAACTATGACGTCAAATGAAACGCAGTAAAATATTAAAAATTCTATTAGTATTGTTTAAAGATATCGTATCGGTGCTACGATAAAAGATTTTCAGAATATTAAGTACTAGTCAAATATGGAGACTATACTAAAGAAATCTGATAGGAAGAGAAAGCTATGCCATACATCTTCAACAACAGCTAGACAAATTGTGTACTTGTCGACAACTCCTATATTTTGCTGTTAGTTTTAAATTTTATTTCATCGTTTCATGATGAAATAAACCGGATATATGTTAAGATTTTGAAACAATAATTGTAAAAAAATTGCGTCATTCGAGCTGGCCATCCAAACAGCTTAAAATCACTGAGAGCTAATTATTTTCACAACTCTAGTTATCTTATCTAATCAGGTCCTGAAAGGAGCCGATGTGCACCGGCCCGGGGCCACATGTGTTTGCGTGCGCGCACGTGTTCATTCACGTACTGCGCGCCTCTCGCCGAAGGGACTGTGACAGGAATAGGTAACATTAAGTATGCCGTGAGCAAACAACACTCGTCGTCTCCCCTGATAATTTATAAAGACAACCTTTATACTGCGTATCTTTCAGTAACTGTGCTACGGATTTTTTTTTTCATAAATATCATTGCCCCCTTCTATTTTACATATCAACTATCAAGTACTCTTTGTTGCGTTGGCTGAGAATGGGCACAAACATGTGCAAATAGGTCGCGTTAACATTCGGTAAACAACCTACTACTTACTAAACCTTTAATCCACATCCACAGGCGTATACATAGGTATTATAGAATTCTTTTCTTAACTATTTGTACCTTTATATGAAACTAGCTGCTCTTCGCTACTCCGTACGAGCAAAATTAATAAATTAAAAAAGAGATCCGATCCGTTAAAGCCGTTTTGGAGATCCATTCATCTAAACGTTCGCTTTTAATATTAGTAAGAAGTAAGATACAGTTGATCCCAAACACTTTTTTTTAGTTTTTAATCTTACATATATGTAAAATTCTCGTGTAACAATGTTAGTTACCATACTCCTCCGAAACGGCTTGACTGATTTTTATGAAATTTTATAAGCATATTCAATAGATCTGAGAATCTATGTATTCAAACTACGCGGGCAGAGTCGCGAGCGGCAGCTAGTGTTACATAAAATTGACAATGCGTTTTACTTTAAGACATTTAAGGTAAATAGTCAACCAACCCGCACTTGGCCAGCGTGGTTGACTATGGCCTAGTCACCCCTAACTTAGGGTAGGCTCCGAGCCCCTCGGTGGGGACGTATAGTGAGCTGATGATGATGATGATTTAAGGTAAATGAGTAGAATCATAAAAACATCACACGATTAAATGTATATTAGCATAGTTTCGGCTCGCGACCGAACATTGCGCCCCCTATCGTCGGGTCCCGGACATCGTTAATTTCATTAAGAGCTTATTAAGAGGGCACGCGACCGCTGACAGTTGGCGCCGACACGCGCACAACATAATCGAAAAACTTATGGACCGGAACGTTGCTCCGCAATACTCATGTTTATTTCGTTTGCACTACACGAATAAACATTAGTTACGTCGAAAACAGTAACGATATATTTAGTATTTAATTCAGTTGATACTGACACAAAAATTTATATTTTAACAAAGGGTCAGCAAGTATCCACGTATTTACTGTACAGTTGCCCGCGACTTCATCCACAAGGAATTCAATCAAATATAGCCAATGTCCCCCGAGAATAGTGTAGAATCCCAACAGTGAAAGAATTTTTCAATTCGTTTTAATGGCTTTGGAGAATATTTAATGCAAACAGACAAACAATCAAATCAAATATAAGTAGTCCTTTATTGATCGAAATTCGATCTTAATTCATAACTAAAAATGTTTTATTTTTGATTTAATATGCACTTCTTCTCTACATTAACTTTTACCGAGTAACTTTACGTATGTATGTACATCAAGTATTCGATCCATGTATTAAATAATAATGACATAACAAAAATGTAGTACTTAAATAATTTACCTTAGATTTACAGATTTCCATTTGGAGCGGATCCGGCACACATCTCTCTCCTCTACCAACGTATCCTAAAACCAGGATTCCGGTGTCCTTTATATTACCCTTATTTACATATATTTCGACGGTAACATGTACTGAACAAAATATGTTAGTCATTGTATAAAGAACACTTCTTTCATTAATAAGTAATATAAAATAGGAAACTAATTTGTTAATAAACAATTACAATAGATGGTCACGCAGAGCGGTCACCGGTGCGGCGTCAGATGGCAACCCCGCACACACACACTCAAGCACCGTGAATAATCCCCGGGTTACGTCATCTTTGTTACCAAACCAATTACAATGGAATATCATTTTCATTTTGATATGCATTCGTGCTTAATGCTATTACACTGACGTACTGGCAATGTACGTTGTAATTATAAATTTAATGATATGTAGGTACTTACCTACTTAAAAATATATATAAGTACATTTGTCAAAATACTGACATTTCTCAGTCTACTAGTTGTTGTCCGCGACTTCAGTCTCGTGTAGAGGAATATTCGAAAAATAATTACTTAATTATTTTTCTTGTAATATATTGACGAAAATTTTCAATTGTTCCTGCTGAAGGAAAAATATTTCTCCAAACAAAAGTAAGGAGATTTCTGAAAGATTAATTGTAATGTTTTAGTGTTGTATTATGGTACTATGTATCTTGTTGCAATTGATATTAAGTAAAATAGTGGGAATCGAAAAAGATTACAATAATAATGAAAATTGTATGATGAATTAACAAATATTTACATACTCAATTTAACACAAAATATAATTATCTATTGCTTAACAACAATATAGTACATTTTGTGTCGTAATTTAATTTAGTAATTTTATTCAACATCGAAATAATCGGTACATTTTTCATAATATAAAATAACGCGATATCGCATCAAGTTCCGGTTTCGGACAGAAGCAACCGCGGTGTATTGTTTGCTTTCGGATGGGGATTTTGCAATTGATATTATTAATAGTACCGTTCGGTTCCCACAGCTTCCCTAGGGGTGAGAGGGACCTGCCGGGTTGAACAGTGCCGACGTGTTATTGTTGTCGGCGTGGCACTCCCACGACACCAAGCAGATGCCGGCCCCAGCGCCGCCACCCGCCACCCGACAGCCGCCACTGTCACTCACAATTTTGTCTCACGAGTGACCCTTCAATGCGTTGTGGGAAATTGATTCCGGGTTCACGCAGCCACTGTTGCACAATGAATTTGCAACCACTCAATCCTAGGCATTGTTTGTTTGATAATCTTGGAAGCTTCGAGATGTATGGGTCTAATACATTGCATTATATCAAATTACATTCTACCTGAACATTTACTTCACGTAAAGAATCTCAACAATTTTAATTATTTTAATTTGAACTAAAATAACGATCTTAAAAGTTTCCCAAAAATAATTTACAACTAGTAAGCCACGATAAAATATATTACTAAAGAATCGTTTAACTTGAATGATCACCTTTGTTCTCCGAGTAAATAAATTTCGATACAGCAAACAGACACTTGACCCGTCAAAACAGCGCATTATGCAGCTAGTGCGGAATTAGCATAGATTTGCTCGGTGACGGACGCCGAGACGCCATTGCATATGCGCCCGCGTCCGCCGCGCCGCCCCGCACCACATACCCCGCGCCCACACCACGGCAGATGCTCCATTAATATTTTATTACGCATCGCATTAGACGCAGTTGCTATATCGTCAAACTTTTCATCCACACATCTGTCTGCTGAAACATGGAAATTTATCAACTTCGAAAACATTTAGGCAAATATATGTGACTGCCAACAATGTCTATCAATATTTTCCTACATTTTCGTCTGTATCAGGATACGAAGGCACTGAATTACACATGCGCAGTGGCTGCGTAAGTTCTACATCTGGCAAAATGAAAAAAATGTGAATCTTTTGAACGAGTTGACGGTGAACCTCTTATACATATTATAAGAGGTTTTTATTTACTCGAAAAAAATAGGGTCTTCCAAAAGCTAAAAATAATAAGTAGATAGTAAGGTACTGTTTCATATCAACATTCGCTATTTTACATTCTTAAAATGAAATATTTTACTTTATAAAATAAAAATAAACATCTCCGTAACAGATTGGAACTATACATTGGTATTGAGCTATACAAGGCAGCCGCAAGTATAATACGTACGACGTTGGTGAATTAAACGAAACTCACCATTGAACTTTCATGCATGTCGATCCGTATAATGTTACAATTTGAATAGGCCGTATAAATCACGGCAGCAGTTTCAGTTATCGAATAATAATGTGTTCAATAACAAATGCTTTGTTTTTGCAACCGGGAGCGAGATTGATGTGCAGCAATTACGGGATGCTCCTCGGACATACATTCAAAATGTGTCGCATCCACAACTAGCTTTTTCTACAGTCCGCTATGCTAATCAGCAAATAGTTACAAATGGTGGTAATGTGAAACGATCCATCGTCTGATCTGAGCATAAAACTACACGTGAATAAAACAATTTGATTTGTTGCAGACATTTATCTATTGAAGTAATTCGATTGCGCTCACTTTATCTTACGGGTTATTTACAATAATTTTGACACTAAAATTATTACTTTATTGTATTTTTTTATCAGGATCGTTTCATGGTATAAAAGAAACTCGCGATACTGTTTACGAACGAAATAAATACTTTTTTTATTTAATTTTACCAAGTCGCGAGCAACAGCTAAATAGTAGATCGTAGAATCAGTTTAGGAGCTATTAGTGACCACTTAAAAATTCTGAATTTGAGAGTTTATGTTTGTACGAAATTTAAGTAAGTTAATGTTTATAAAAACTTATGATTTTTTTTAACTAAACCTATAATGTTGAGGGTTCTTAAAGTTATGCAAACATAATCTGCAAATAGTTTATTTACAACTTACTGTAATTTACACAGAGACCGTCCATACATAAGGTAAAGTATCAGCCGCTTTCATCAGCGGCCACGGCGCCGTCTGCGAGAACCGATGCGTCGGGACCGAAATCGATTACGCCTCCGCTTTAAAGCTATGAATATTTTAACAGTGCCGCATGATTGACTCATTGTTAAAATTTGGTGTCATAAGCTGAACGTTCTTATTTGTTCCGGAAAGAAAGCGTATCTATTGTACTAGTTGAAAGTTTTAAATCTATGTAGTAATCTAATCCTTGGGCATTAAACCTGTAAGCAAATACTTAGAAAATACTAATAATTGTATATAAAAAAGCTTTCAATTCCGATTAGTTATACCCGAGCATACAGTAAAAACTTGTACGCGTAAAAATGTGAGGTCGTGGAGCGCGAGTTCCCGTGTCAAGTGTCACGGGCAGGGCCGGAGCAGGCGGACGGCAGCCGCGGCGAGGCCGAAAGCCACGACCAGCCATTGTCCGCTGCGCACGACGAGACGAATCGCAAGCCAGGACCCGTGACCCGCGTCAACGCGATCACGAAATCACTTTTGATGAATCTTTTCACAGGAAACCGTCAACAAACAGACTTGGCTAAAATCAATAATAGGCATATTTTCCCACGAAGATCCTAATCTTACTAATATTATAAATGCGGATGTTTGGATGGAAGGATGGATGGATGGATGTTTATTGGAAGGATTGACATAGTTACTAGTACTAATTAAGTTTGTATTATATTTATTAGTGAAGCCCGTCCCGCGAGTTGATTTATCGATTACGTTTACGTGTGAACTTCTTCCTCAAAATAATATGCTAAAAAGGCACTTTTAATCTCATCATACAGAGCAATTTTGAATAAGGATTAATATTAAAGCCAAAAAAAGCCGGAAAAAAGGCAAATTTTAGGAATTCATAAATACGCTATACACTCATGTATCCCTTATTATTAAATATGCTTACACAAACCATCCCGAGTAAATAACCTGTAAACTAAAAACAACACGGTGGAAAATGTACTTTAATCAGTTTTGTGGATAAATAGAACATAGAAGCCAAACAGAGGTCACAAAAAGGGACTTATTTATAAGATGTATAGAAAAAAATCATAATTAATGTTTCCCAACCCATCCATACAAATCAAATTAAAATTGACAAACCTGCACTGACCAATGGAAGACGTAAACTAAAATAAATCACTACGATACTTTAAACTTTTTTACTTTTTCAAAACGTATAAACGAAATATAATGCAATAATCTAAACAAAGTTAGTTTAAAATATAACTAAAATTTACTAATTAATAAGATTTAAACAAAAACAATTATTAATATTTAATTATATTAAAGGTTAATTATAATTCACTTCAAATATCTTAGCACAATTCAACATCAATAAATTCTTTAGATCATAAGTTGTTTATTTCCTATATAATGATGTCAAGAAAAGACTGAAAGTATATATTCATATCCATTTACTATGTAAGTCAATGTGAATAGACATTACACAAATTTTGTAAAATTAGAAATTAAAGTTGGTTATCAGGTCCCATTAAAATATTCAGACATGTTTTTTTTTAGTAGTTGAATTTAATATAACAATAATACTTTTATTTCACAAATTTTATCTTATCATTTACTCAAAAGTTAAACAATTGCAAAACCAAAAACAAGTTACTAATAATAATAACACATTATTCAATAATAAGTTTCAATATCTTCTTTATGAACTAATTGTAAAGCTCTTTACTCTGATTTATTTTTAACTGTGTACAAGATTTGGTTGGTTTGATGGATAAGGTACAGTGCACTCACAAACACAGCATTTGCTCTGAAAATAAAATACAACAGTATTAATAAATTTTAAATTAATAGTAAAATATTATAATATTATCTCTATATTTACATACAGTGAGCATAAATTAAGAATGTTTATTTTACAGGAAGATTTTTTCAAACAAATACATATAATTAATTGTACTGTATGATTTTTTTTTTTATAAAAGAAGGGGGCAAACAAGCAGCGGGAACTACTAGAGGAAGGAAGCGAAGCAATACTAGAGGAACCGCAGATGCATTGCCATCCTTTGAGGTGGTGATAGGCTCGCTGCTTGAAGGACCATAAGTCATATTGGTTTGGAAATGGTATTTATTTTGTATTGATCTAGGTATCCCAAATATTTTCTACACTTATTGGCTGGCCATATATAGGAATGGTATCTTTTGTTCTAATTTAAGTAGGCACCAATAGAACAAAAAACAAAAGTTATGTTAAATTTATAAGGGAAGTACTTGTAGTAGAATGAACAACTCTACTACAAGGGAATTCTTTGTATAAGTTGAATCCTATTCATAAGTTGTATTAAAGATCACCCTCTATTTTCAATGCAAAACAAAGTTTTCACTTCAGTAAAGCATTTTGCCACATATCAAACAATGTCAAATTTATTAGGATGTTAATTTGTAATACACAAGTATTCTAACATGGCGAAACTACCACTATTAGACAAATTATAAAGTTGTAAAATCGTTTTACTAACTGGCCCTCCTTGAAATATTCCTTCAAAGTGTTAGAAAATCTCTTTGAATATTTAACAAACTCCCTTTTCCTCTGTTCCAGTGCCTGTTTTCCTGGGCCAGGTGTGTACGTAGACACTTCATTAACCGCATCTAATAACTTTTTAATAGCTGATGCTATTTCTCTGCAAAAAAAATAATGATTACAATTAGAAAAGATCTATTGAAGAAGTAGAAATATGGTAATACATTCAGTACTACTGACTCGCCAGGCAATTTAATTTTTGTATAAAAATGCAAAGTGGGATGGAGTATATGTAAGCTATATGATGTAGGTATGGCTCACTTAATTGTTTCCAGAAAAGTTTTACGATCAGTAATTTCATCTGGAATTCGGCTTAAAATTTTCTTCAAAGCAGCTGATTTCTTATTCAACTCCTGAAAAGCTTCCTCGGATCTGTTCAATCTCAAATCAGCACCTATAGAGAATAAACAAGACCTCTTAGCATCTTAATTTCACTTATGTTCCATGTAAATTTGGAAATATTTAAAATTGTCTTACATTCATTTTCAGTAAGTGTTCCTTGAAGCCTCAACAAGCTTTCATTCATGTTAACTGGTATATCAGCCCGCCTCATTATACCAGCAACTAAATCATAATTAAGTCCAGGTATGGCTGCTTCAGCTTTTGTAAGAGCTGCTCGTAATGTTTGAGATGCTCCAAGGTCATATTTTTCCAACTAAAATTTAAACAAACTCACATATTAGTATTTTCCTATATGCACACTATACTTGAATATTATAAAGACATACTTAAGCAACAGCATGAATTTAATAAGCAATTTTGTGTCAAATTAGCAGGGTCTGTACACTTAATAGTAGTGTTGAAGCAATACCAAAGTATTAATCGTTACTGATACGTTTATAATGACCTCCAAGTATTATGAAAATAAAAGTAATGCAAGGCATGATAATTATGAGATTGCGACACCACAATTAGAAAAACGTATATTATAATAACGTTTTTCTGGAATCATCATGCTAGTCATATTCCACCATTCCCACAAAATATTAAAATAAACCTCACCTGAGTTAAAACAGGACGTATAAGTACGGGCAAAACTAAGGAAGTAACAGGTAATTCATCGCCCATTGTCATTGTGACCAAATTTTTCGATTATCTTGTGCTTGAAGAAAAATAGGGTAACTAAAAGAGTGGTAGAGATATTACAGAAATTTATAGAATAATTTGAATGATAATAACACAAACAAAATATTACAACTATATTTTCAGAATTTTAATTAAAAATCAATTCAACAATTCAATTTCATTGACCTAAATGTCAAACTCCACCTTATCAAAGAGTATATAGCTACGGCAACAACTTCGCTTCGCATTTTTTTTAATTTTATGACCTGGTAACATAGACCTTTAGGTCATATCTTATTTTAACTTCGCTTCGCAGCAGTAGTAAGAGCAAAGAGTATAGTAAGTATAGTATTTTACGGTTTTACGCAGTTTTACGGTTTTAACTGGTTTTAACCAAAGTTTCATTGACCTCCGTGAACTTTCAACTTGAGTCCTCCATTTATTTTCATACAAATCGTTTGAGAGGGTTTGAGGGAAAGGAAATATCGTTTAAGAGCTCCCACTTTGTACTATAAAAATAATTTCAATTTTAGTGTGAAGTTAGCCCCACACTTCATTTTCTAATTTTTGTTTAATACAAATCGCTAGAGAATCGTTTGAGAGATTGAGAAAAATGAAATATCGTTTGGGAGTCTTAATTTTTCTATAATTTGATGTATTTCAATTTCAAATTTATTTTATAGGTAGAAAACAAGAGAATCGATATCAAAAATCGAAAATTGTCATAACCGATTTTGCTCAACCCATCTCTAGGAAATTGGTAAATAAAATGAACAGGGAACAACTAAAACATGTAATAATAATATGTCATAATAATTAAAAACTACATTTAAGGCCCATTCTTACGAGTAAAGCCTTATTCGGAATCTGAAGAAAAAATGGCCTTATGAACAACATATAATTTTTCACCTTTTTGTTTTAATGGCTATTTCGAATGAACCATTTCGACTTCTATTTAGTATTTTCGTCCAAGTATAATTAGTTGTATTTTATTATGATGTTTTCAAAAATATTGACTTTATTGGCGGTTGCCGTGTTATCAGTACCTGGTGCTGCACCAGCACAAAAATGACGCCAATGAAGTACATGTATCCTTTGTTTCGTTCACAAAAATGTTATAGTTAACATATTACTTGGCAAGGCCTTGTTGCTGTGCTTTTATTTGCAGCATTTGCGGAATTGATTTCCTAAAGCTCTGCAAAGGAACAATTAATATGACAGCACTCATTCCTTATTAGGTGACTTAGGCGAACTAGAATTATCTGGAGCAGACAATCTTTGTGGTCTTCACATGTCCAAGATAAATCACCAAGTTTTTTCGATATGATTGTGATAGCCTGATTAGAAATGTGTTTGATAAATATGTTTAACTTCTACATGAAACCATGCCGTTACTGTATCAACTAGGTGACATAAATTAAATATGGGATATGTGAGACTTTTTTATAATGCCATCATTCCCTAAGCTTTATGTATGTCTTTGCGTGTATTAGTTCAGGATTGTCAATTTTTGAACATAATTTGCAATGTTCACAATTCTGCACTATTTTTTTAACACTACAGAAGCTAGATAACCTGCAACATAAACTGTTGGTTGTTTTTCGAACAAATGAAATCATTTATTTTCAATTTTTAAATCTTTTGAATCCTCTTCGCTTATTTCAACTACAGGAAATTCGTTATTACGGAATTCCATAATGTTGGATAAGTTTAATCATTGTGGTTTTCTTCTTTATTTTTGGTTTTAGCACAGTTTGTGCATTAGCCACAATTAGCCAGCGTAAGGTAGAACATTGTGGTTTTATGTTTTCTTTTTGCTCAGTATTGTCAGTGTAAAATAATTTAAATCAGGTGGTGTACCACTCCATGCTTTTAGTAAATTAATACTGCTAATATTTGTCGGTCGTTGATCACATACTGTAACCGTTTTGGTGAATCCAGTTTCTTCCGTGGCTTTTATTGTTTTTTTAATGAATGGAGCTAAGAATTGTGAAGACAGAGACTCCAAAGGAGTAGCTATGAGCTGCTTAAACTTTTGGCGTAGACGTAGCATAAAGACTAATGCATGGTTTGCTATATCTGTCGGCATATCTTTGTCTTCTACTGTATTCCACCATTTCCCCTAGGGTTTTTTCTTATTGTTCCGTATATAAGACTTATTCAGTTCTTAAAGCTGAAGATTTAATTCATTGCAGTACATTGCTACGGTGTAAAATTAATGTTTGTTATCTAATAACAGTTAACTGTTTTATATCTTTCCTTTTATGAGGTGTTTTTTCATACCTGCAAGAGAATAATTTTGAAACATTTTTGCAACAACAACAAACAAAAAAACTGACTACAATCCACTCACTTTCTTGATTCCCGCAAAGGACATTTTTGATTTCTTCTTTAAATTGAGGTATATCAAGTGAATGGTGGTGAATGCCCGAAATAAACAAGGATCACGTATTTTTTGACCTGCTTACCCGAAGAATTTTTTGAAAAAAAAAATTTCAAAACCAGATTTTTGATTGAAAGGTCAACGAGTAAATAATATGGTAAAAACCCTCGGCAGACAGAAATGGAATTTTAAAGATATTGATATAAATATATCTTGTTTATCATGGTAAACGTCCGTTTCTTATGGGTTTAGTTGATTGAATGATTTCTTCCACCATTAAGAGTAGCAAAGAATATTCTACAAAAAGGAGAATGATACTAATTTAAACTATAACCGTACTCTGTTGATAGGCTGAAAAAATGTACATATCGCAAATGCAATATCTTTCACATTTCACCACAATACTTTACTCTGTGCCATTTTATACTCTTCTCTGACTGTCATTGAGTGACATTGACAATTAAGTGGTGAATAACAAAGTTAATATTTTACTACTTTAAAAGCTATCATATTTATTTAAAATCCTGCTTTAAATCAAGAAAATATCTAAAAATAAAAACTAGCAATGGCGAAAAATACTTCTAGCTCGGCGTTTCGTAAAATAGACATTGACCAGTACAATGAAGATAATTTTAAAGAAGATGAAACTGAATCATCCGGTCCTACGGGCCCTGACGAAGGAGAAATTTGTGCATTACTCAATCAATATCCTTTTCATAATAATGAATATTATACATTTTGAAATTCTATTGATTTATCAATATCACGTATTTCTTCTACCCAATTTCGTTAGGAAAACTACAACTGTGGATTAACTCCTAAGGCCATCGGCCATAAGCTCGTTTTGATATTTTCCTAAAACTATTACTTAATATACTTTACTAGCTTTTGCCTGCGTCTCTGTCCGCGCGATATTAAAAAATTAACATAATCCTTTCATCAATTCTATTCAAATTGTTTCATTACAATTTATCGTGCAATTGTACATATGTACAACAGCAGAGAAACGGTAAAGATATTCCTTGTTTAAAAGAATAAGTGCAGAACCCTCCCATACTTTTATATTAATTTTTAATATTGATGAAGAGATTGGTAGTCCATATCCAATACACCTTAAAGGTATTGGCCTTTGTTGTTTTGCGTTTTCCTTTTGCTGCTTGACCTATTATTAATTTTCTTAACGGAAATGATTATAAGATCATTTTTTACTTAACATTCAGAAACTTTGTTTCCCTTCTTTTTTGTTAGCTACTATAGTGTTCAATATTTATTTATATAACATTTTTAACAATAGCCAATACATTGGAAAATGATGTTAATGTCAGAGTGTAAGTCTGTCCAGATTTTCTTAACACATTAATACAGGAAGATATATAGAAGCACTTAAATTGGTGCTTGGCAATGCACCGGTTGGATCAACAAACCAACAAGTCAAAGTAAATAATTCGAACACATTACTCAAAATAAATTGTCTACAAACAATGTAAGAATCCTTTAATTTATGAATTTTAATAATAACAACATTCATTGTTACAGGATAATGCACTTGCTATTACTTTGAAGGTATTACTTGCTATCAAATCAGCACAAATAGAAGAAGCAGTTGGAAATCTTTCCCTAGATGATATAGACATCTTGATGAAATACATCTACAGAGGTTTTGAATACCCATCCGAAGGCTCCAGTGGACATCTGCTGCTGTGGCACGAGAAAGCTTTTAATGTTGGTGGATCTGGCTCTATTGTTAGGGTTCTTTCAGACAGAATGAGAGTCTAAACTTCATACCAAATATTTAAAATTATATAAGCTTCATTTAATATAATATATTAATTTTAACATTATATGTTTTTGATTATATAAAGATGTTTGGTGACTACCAAATATTAAATTTATGGTCTTATCTCCTAAACTTACAGTTAAAATGTGTAATTAGAAGTCTATTCTGGTTTCCGACGTGCCAACCTGGAATTGAGGTTATATTGGCTAGAAACTCCTTATGAGTCATTACTCAGAACAGAATTTTAGGTGTAGTGGGGCGTAAAGAGGTTAAGAGAAAGGGGACTGAAGAGCGCGCAGATGACCTATAGTCTCCAAGATATTTATAATGACGTGTACTATATCAAATTATAAAACATTTTTTCAAAATTAGTAGTAGAATCCCTTGTTCACATACTGTTTAACAAACAACTTTTTAGATTTACACATAGAAGGACCGACGGGTTCGAAACTAATCGGTACCCTAGACCGAAATTTTTATACAAAATTAGGTAAGAAACCTTTCTATAAAAGACGATATTTATTAACTATACCTGTCGCCGGCGACTCTCTGTGCGTAAATAAAAAAAAAACTTATTTACCCTATGTGACCTTTCACAATATGTTCTGTATCTATCGATATCCGTTAAGCCGTTCTGGACATACCTTTATATAGTTACCAGTACGAGTACCATCTAAACATTTGCATTTATAATATTAGCAAAATAATAAGAGTAAGATTTTGCATTTACATAATATGGACGTAACATAAAAGAAAAACAATGATACAACATTTAAAATAAATTACATTGCTTCTAAAGCAATGGGACGCAAAAAAAAAGATGCTGTCGCCTGTGGTAATTGGTGTAACTTTCAATATACAATTTTTTTATATGTATAAACTAGCGTTCAGCTTTGATCTCTTTTTTGATTAGAAATGCCTACTCACCCTACCTCATTTATTACAAAATTTATAAAAATATCGTACAGATATTTAACAAAATGGCAATTACATAACAAAAACAATATAGATCCGGAAATTACTGACCTGAATAGACTTTTTTGTAACTGCAGTAGTTATGATACCTAAGTAGATACATTAAAGGAAATTTCAAGATTCGAAAAAAGGTAAACAGAGATCTGTGCCAAGACTAGTCAGTCTACAAAGAAAGTAAAAGAAGAAAGAAAGAAGTTGAGTACAAGTCATGATTGTCTCTGCAATGCAAACTGCAGTATTGATGTACAACCGATTTGTTTGTTTGACCTTTGTAACAAATATTTTCTATTTTAAATTTCGAAGTACTCAATGGATTCGATAATGATTCAGCGCCATAAGTAATTCAGATCAGTGAACTTGGTGACGTGTGCGCCGGCCGCAGCCCGTCGCCGTCTCTCCATCGCGGAGGGGCGAATGCAGGCGAGTGTAAGAAAGTAATTGTTTGATTCGAGCAGAAGCAATCTCTCGCTACCGCGGGAACGCGCCATATAAAAGCCTCTCTGCACTTGTCGCTCGATAGTTTTTACTCGCACTTCGAACGCACACTTCATACCCATCGCTATGGAGTTACTGGTAAGTTAATTTGTTTGTATTGAATAACGACGTAAGATATATTTTGATGTCCGAGTATCGGAAACGACAACTTCCTGATTACACAATAAGTTATGTAACACGCTCCAGTAGATAGCTGCAATAACAAAACATCCGATGACAAATTCTGAAGTTAACATTTAGTACTTCGTAAACAAAACGTAATGGAATAATTTAAGTTGGATTATAGTTCAACAGCCCAATTCGCATTTTTTTTTAAATATTACGGAATTTGTATTCTTCTAAAAGTGAACAATATTTTTATTAATAACATGCTTGATACTATTTCATTTTCGTTTCAGAAATTTACTACACTACTATGTTGCATATGCGTAGCTTTTGCCTCTGAACACAAGCACATAATCCCCGTGGAGAACTACGACACAGAACTACAGGATCTGGGTCAGCATGTGGAGATACCAGAAACTCCTGTTAGAGTTGTAAAAATTACAAAGACCATAGCTGTTAAAATTCCCGTACCCTATCCGGTGAAAGTAGTGGAAAAAGTACCTTATCCAGTGCACGTGTCAAAGCCTTATCCTGTGCCAGTGCCGCAGATCGTTAAGGTGCCTCATGTAATTAGTTCAAAGGACAAAATCGGCCACGAAGCCTTAGACAGTCCTTACCAGGGCCACGGTCAATTCGGTGGAAACACTTACCAAGTACAAGAACATGCATCTGATGGGTACGGTCCTGACTCCGAAAACGTATATCACGGTGATGGGGGTTACGGAAGCGGATCACAAGGAGCCGGCGACGAGCACTCTCTGCAAAGTTCCAACGAAGACTTCGCCGGAGCCGGCAGCCACTACAGCCACCCCGGTAACCAAGAAGATGTTAACACATTCGAGTCCGATAGTTACAATCAAGCTATTAAGAACTATTTAGCAAATCATGGGTCTGGTAACCAAGGTCATGTGCCACATTACTAAAGTTAATAAAAATGTATAAATCTCTGGTGGTATGGCTGTACCTGAACAAAAGTGTACATAGTTACAATTTTTGAAACTGTGATCTTCAGAAAGAAATATAAATCTCTTTGTATTGTGTTTTATAAGCCAAACCGTTCCAAACACTATGCTCAAATAGTCTGATTATTATGTTTCGTTGTTGCTACATGTGTATGTACTAATGATAAGTTGTTATTTATAGTGTGATCGGTGATGAGTCGCTTGTATATATGAGAAATACAAAATATAAAAACCAAAACTTTTTTTTATTATAACAAAAGAAATCTATAAACTTTGCATGTCCACAATAACCGCTTATAATCTATATAAATGTCAAAATATAAAATTAATATTAATTAAAAATAGAGTATCGCGTCCTTTGTCTCCGCCGCCGAGAGAGGTGCAGCTGAATACAAAGAGCTGTCCGAAGACTTCCGGCACATTACGATGTTGTACTTTCCTTCCGCACGGCAAGAACGACTTGCAATCATAAAAAAAATTATAAGACATCGAGAAACATCAATTTAAACGAGGACCAACAACACATACTAGTTGTATAACATGATCACTTACACTATGCGGTAACACTACAAAAAATAAATCGATTGCTGTATTATAAAGTAATAGTATCTAGTGATTACGACACTTAAATGTTTCTATTTCAAAAGGTAGGAAAGAAAGTGACTCTAGGTCGTTTCTCGACGGTGGGCGTGACGCTGTCCGTGTCGCTGGATGACAGCTCGTCGCTAAGCGCCTTCACCTCGAGCGCGCGCGTCGGACGCATCGGCTCCGGCTTCTCCTCCTCGTCCGACACGTACATGCGCGTAAGGTCCGACGCCACCGACGCCGTCTCGCACACACTGCAATGTACATACCTAACTCAAACATTACACTTTTCACATTGTTTCCAACAAAACCTCATGGATACTACTATATACGATGCCCTCGAATTATCGGTATATTGAGTTAAATAACAGTTTGAGCAGTGCCAGTTGCAGTAAGTTGTGTCATCTCACCTGTTGTAATATTCAGACTCCATGTGGTGCAAGTTGTAGTTGACATCGGGCTTAGCGCTCATGGCGGCCATGGCGGCGGGCATCGCGAGCGCTGCGTCCGGCATGCACGACGTCTCCTCCTCCTCTGGCCCCTCCCCCGCCCCGGCCTCCTGCCCCCGCGCCCTCCCCGCCCGCCCCGCCTCCTCGCGCACTCCCTCCTCACCCACCCTGCCCTGCACCTCCGTTACCTTCACTTCGATTATCTCTTCTTTCAAAATAGTGCTGAAAATATTATTTTAATATAACACTGTACAACAAACTAAAACAACATCCTTAGCTTCTTCTGCGTTACTCATCAAGTCATATGATTCGCATAATGTTAAAAAGCTGATGTAATTTTGAAAATATGAATAAATACTCTATTCGAAACAAACACAATGTTTGCTTACCTTCCAAGATCAAAAGATATCTTGTATTCTTGTGATTTTTGAACTACTTCCAGCCAATTGGGCTTTTGAAATTCATCTTCATTCAAACTGAATGATGAACCAGGCCTGAAAATTTTAAAAATATAAATGTCACATTTAACAACAATAATAATTATTATGCATATAGCTACAATTTCGAGAAAATGTTAAAACTTACATAGGAGTGAAGTTAACGACGGTACCAAAGTGCTGTTGTTTGTTTACTTGATAGAAATTATCAAGAGGAGTGGTCATTATCGCGTCTTTTGTGATCGCCGGCAACGCTGAAGAGTTCCTCTGATTCGACTTCGTTACACTGCTCTCCATAACTTCACTCACGGAAAACTTCAATTTAGCTGAAAGACAAAAGTAAAAAAAAACCGTAATAATACAATACAAGGCCATAAAAAATCACTCTTGGAGTATGTCAATATTACTCACATTTATCAATCGGTGATATTTTACTTGCCACATCGAAAATAAAATCAGGCGTCCAGAAGTGAGGTATACGAATAAAAACTTTGCCCGAATCGACGGGCATGTGGAAGCCCAGCTTATGCAAAAGTTGCAGGAATTTTAAATCCTTACACATTGAAGCTTGCTCGCAATTCCACGGCACCAGTGGTACGGATTGGTTTAAAACTGAAATTAAAATATTAAACTCCGCTTAGTATAAGAATAACAATGTATCGAAAAGTCTTAAGCACTCGTTTTACTTATTTGCTGGCAACAGAAAATGTGTATAGAATATAACTTACCCAATGAATGATACGACACAGGGGAAGCGACAGGTTCATCTGCGTTATTATTAATGCCTTTGTTATCTTTTTTGGTAAAATCTATATCCATTTGTGCTTTCTTCTCGAAATATATTTTGGCATAGCAAGTGTCCAGTAACACTGTTTGAACCCAATCCAAAAACTTGGACTTGCCATCCTGTGTCAACTGCTCGCAAAGCTTTCCTATTTCGTCATCTCGCATCTCTTTGTTAATTTGTACAGCTTTAGAGTTCCTGTCCATTTCGGATTTAAGAAGTTTCTCGAATTCTTCCTTGTTTATTATTGACTGTTTGAAAAGTTCCTTTATTACGGAATCCCTCTTTTTGATTACCCCGTCCTCTTTAAATAACTTCAGTATTTCGCCGATCACATCTGACATTGTGTTACACTGCATGTAATTCCAGCTCAAAGAAGAAATTTCATCCTCTGTCCATCTTAAATAGAATATTGTTTTTTACTTTACAACATATAATTTATTTATTATGAATATTAAATAAGAATTGAACAATAGCTTAATACTTCGGTATTTTAAACGCAATAATAATCGTAATGGCATCGCTAATACTAAAGTTAAGAAATATAATTTTCCTATAACGTCATCAAATAATAAAAATGAGAAATAAGTTAGATGCGTAAGTTAAGCGGTTTTGCGTCATCACGTAAAATGTAAGTGACGTAGCAAAGCGAAAAGTCGTCATCGTTTGATGTTGTGCAATGCCTACACCGTAACAAGCCGACGCGACGTCATCGCCACATTACACTTATATTTACCAATTCCACCAATTGACAACATTGATTTGAATCAGTATTTCGCATTTACAAATTATTATTTCCAGATGAGAGATGAGTCAAAAGTAGTTTTTCAATGTCCATTAAACTAACCGAAGGAATAGTTAGAAGCCGAAGAAAAAACACACACAATTTAAAGTAGATACATCTGCCCATCAGAGAAAAGAATAGATGGATGGGTGGATGAATGTTTCTTTGAAGGTACCTCCAGAACGGCTGAACGGATCTCGATGAATATAATAGAACATAGTCTGGAAGACACACATAGGCAACTAATTAAGTTTTTTTTTTAGTTCCGAGCGGACGGAGTCGCGAGAGACAGCTTGTATGTATATACAAAAAAAACAGTATTGGTAGCAAAAAATTACAAATAAAATGAGGTAATGTTACTTTACCTCTCTTTAGCATTCGTTACGCTGCTTGTAGTTGATTTTCTTTTGACTCCGACGTCCTTTCCTGCTTCTTTGCTTTGAGCTACATCGAAGCTTTCAGACTCAAGTCGGAAAGTTCCAGTACTTTGCAACGATTGAGGTTTCTTTATGAACGTATTTATAACGTACTCAATTAGATCGGACCAATCCTACAAAGAAGAAAAATACAATAAGAACAACAGAAAGTTGCATTGCACGGAAGAGAGTAATATATTCATTTTATAGAGTTGAAAACAAACGTAATTCTGTATGATACATTGCCATTTCGTCGCAATGTAATTCGGTACGAAGACTGGCATTGGCCGCTGCACGAATTCTCGTTCAACAAGGGCAGTACCGATCGCATAAAAGGGCGGAGGTAAAAAAAGAAGGGGATATATCCTCTTTCCGATTTCTGATTAAAGGTTGACAACCTAATTGTACCGTTTTATCAAAAGACCAGATCTCTACTGGCAGCCGTTACTTTGTTATTATCAAGGTGTACGAGACTGTCAAACGATATCACTTTGTAAATGAAATACCAGTGAAACACTACAATACATAGAAACCCGCAAAATCAAAAACATCAAAAACTTATTTTAGATTTTATGCAAAAAGATTTACATACATCGCAAGTCTCGAACTCAGATTTCCATATGGATGTGAAAGTTTTCAAAATCTTGGGCTGGAACAAAGCTATGACGCATCCCAGCTCTCCGCCAACGTGATGCATCATGGTGAAAATGCAGTCGTTGACAAACTCCCCATTGCCTTCGTAATCTTCCAGCAAAAGCCCATATTGTGACATTATTTCAGGCGTTGCAAACCTGTGACAAATTGATCAACGTATAGTAACAATAACAAGGTTATAAATTTGGAATAACCCACATATTTATAAAATCATAAAAATACTAACTGTTTTATATGATCAGGCATACTGGTCGTGCCTTTGTAATCCGGCATTTTCATAACGTTGTCCAAAAACATCAATAAAATGTGGTTGGTTACAATAAGGTCCTGAAAATATTTCTAATGTAAAGTGCTCCCTCTACTAATTTTGCAATTTTTTGTTGCATAACATAAGAATGACAATTATAATAGAAAAGCGATGACACCCCTAGCTTTCGTCACCTCCCGTAACCCTTGTTTTGACATTTTATGCAAACAAACCTTAAACCTTTAAAATTTTGCAACGTCTCACACGTTATTGGTGCATTTTTTTATATTTATGTTTATTTGTAGATTGGGCAAATAAAAAATGTTCAAACCTGTAAATATTGTTTCGGATGATATTTAGGATTGTAATGACGTAAAAGCAACACTAAAAGCGAGCGCAATTCATTCGTCTCACACATCTTCATTTGCAGCGACACCAGCTTGTCTTGGTCATCATCGCAAGTATGCGGCGATTTCTTGTACAACTCAATTGCCTGAACGAATTCACGGATGGCTGTCACCACCTATACAATGACAAGTTTTTTTTTAATTATTGCATTACCAAATTGAAAAGCGTATAATACATATACACTTAAATATACCTACCAGATGTAATCTTCGAACGTTAGGTTTCAAGTCATTTCCGTCCAATTTTCTAGCAAGTTCAAACTGTTCACACAGATTTACGCCTTCCGCAGTCAAATATGAAATGATTTCAAACGACAGCACTGAGCAAACGTGCTCCAAGTCCAGTTCAATTTGTGTGGCAAACTTCAAAAAATATGTAACGAGCCAAAAAAAGTGCGATGTATCGATTTCGAGTTGAACATTAGTCAAAATTTCTTTATGTAACGTCTTCACTAATGAATTATATCCTTTTAACAGAAAATTAACTGTAAATTCTTTCAAAACATTGGAAATGTCGTCGTCGGTCAGTGTATTGTGTCCTTGCAGTGTTGTTCTAAAATAATTTAAATCATTAGTGTTAAATAACCGAAAAATATTCACATATTTGAAGAAGAATACAAAAATACGAACATATTTATTCTTCCTTTCTTGACGATTTTTTTTCTTTTTCTTTCCTGAAGCGTGAGGTTCGAGCGTACTTTGTTACTTATTCTCTGTTTGGTCGTGTGCGGTTTTTGGTGCTGAGGTTTTTTAGTTGGCAACTCATCTTCGTTGCTCGATGTGGATATCGACTCCTGATTTTCGATTTGAGTGACGTAACCGTAATCAGAGTTTTCTGATATGACCACTTTCTTTTCTGATTTTCTTTGTTGATAATTTTGACTATCGTTTTCATTTGAACCTGACACGGAAACCAGCTGTAAACAAAATTTATATTTATTTCTCAATAAATTTTATGCAAAAGTATTATTTAGCCATTTTTTAATGCTTACCGTATCATTTTTCATAGTGGTATCTTTATTATTATCAACACCATCAACACCATCGCCACCATCACCGCCATCACCACCATCACCACCATCGCCGCCATCACCGCTATCGCCGCTATTATTATTATAGATTGTTTCAGATGCGTGATTGTCGGCGGATCGCGGGGACTGGAATGGTTGGCTACTGTTCATGTTGTTTCTTGAAGAAGCATCCCAGTCGTTGTTCACAGAGCTGGGGTCGTCGTTACTTTTGCCGCTTCCGCCGGTGTCCGACGAATCAGAAGTTGGATCGGAAGTCAAATTTGGCGAAGAATCCTTACTACCTACAGTACACGTTAACGTATTAACTCGGTATCACTTAAAAATAAACTCACACTTAAAATTTAAAAAATACCTCTGTCTTGTGGTGACGTATTACTCTCATTGTCTTCAGAACTTTCAGATATAGAAGCATCGAGCCACAAATTAAGAAGTTTATGTAATGTTGTGACGTGCTGATCTTTATATAATAGGGCTATTAATTGTACCATTGTAACTGCCCAATTGGTCTGGAAGGAAAATAACATACAAAACACACATCTCGACTCTAGAAGAACTAAGTAATGAAATTAATGCAATTAATAACAGATAATTAAACAAAATTCAGACAGTACAATGATTTGTAACTGCTATGAATTCTTTTAATTCATCACTTACCGCATCTGGCATACACATAAGCTTTATAAGAACTATGTCAAAATTTTGGCTAAACAAGTTCCATAGTAACTGATTTTGCACTGTATGCGGGGCGCCATTGTAGACGGGACTCAGATCGCTCACATCTTCAGGTATGTGCAAGATGTTGCGCAGAAATAGAAGTGTGTTGCTAATATTTACGCATTGCTCCGAAGAAAGTTTACTTTTTTGCTCCAAGTCTGAATTTTTTTTCAAAAATTCTATTATGACTTTTGTTGCCCGATGGTCTGTCAGAGCGAGTTTAGTAGTTGCTAGTAAATTGTTTACTTCAAATATAGTGTGTCTCCCGAAGCCAGTTTTGGAAATAGCATCCATAGAAAGTAGACATTCTATAGGTATAGTTAAATTAACTAATATTTTTATTAGTAGTTCAATAGTTTTATCTTCTTTTGCATTAATCAGTAATGGAATAAGATCCTTCTTTATGTTTTGACCGAAGCTAATACTTCTACGATAGGTACATAAATATTTATCTTCTGTTAATATATTGTGTAAAATAGTTTCTAAGGCAGCTGTAAAAAAAAAGTTAATGAAGAGGATTTAGAACATTTCGTAACATTTGTTAATCAAACAAGAGTAGTTATAAAAGAACTAAAGAAATATGAATTAAATGTCGCTGTACGAGTATTTAGAGTTTGATCGAAATAAAGGTGGTCATAACGGCGCGTTGACGCTGTCAGAACCAAGCAATTGCAAATCAGTGCCTGCAAATAGGCACTAATTAGCGGCTTGTTACGCGACTGTCATTTTACACAGCAGTTGTGTCCACGCCAGTGGTGATCAGTGGGAGTTGGATCTTAACATGATGTGCGTAGTGCGTATTGAATGCGCATGGCTAGCAGGAACGGACCTACAGCGCAATCTATAGACACATATTTACTGCGATACTGAATCAATTGACCTCGCCTTGCAATCCATATGGCTCTGATTGAAATTACTCGAATATTTTTTTTTATATTATCTGCTCATCCATTAACAACCCTTTTTTATAAAACAGTCAACATTAACTTTGAAAAAAATTATTTACAAAAATGATTTTTCTCACCGTTGCAGTGTTCATTTACGTGATATCCATCTGAATGTAAAAATCCAAGATTGCTGAATGTGCTATGGAGCTGAGGGCTTCTGAGAACCCATTCCATTTTTTATCTGAAAAATATTATCGTATTGAATCAAACGTGATATACAAATAAACAAAAATCTACATATATATTATACTGTAAAAGCCCAAACTTAGATAAATCCTAATATTTACTGGCAAGCAAGGATTTTACTTAACTCATCTCATTTAAAGATCTGACGTTATGATCATCGAGGGTAATGTTTAAAAAAATGTTATTCCTTCAGCAGAAATACTTCATAATTTACAAAAACAGGGGAACAAAGCTGTGATTGCTGGCCAATGACTACAACTTTTTCAATTGTTTGCACCATAAAATCTCAGAAACTCGGTCTAGGTAATGACATGATCTACAACTTTGATCTAGATCATTATTTAATAAAACTTATATCTTGGCTGAAATCCCCGAAAACCCCATTGGCGGTCAAAACCTTCGACCTAAAATATTTTTTTCCAAATGCGGGATCGATGGTTCACCCCTTAATTTACCTAAATTGACTGCGCTATTACCACACGTTGCAACATATTACTCGTGAATACACACAAAAAAACGTATTATAATTAAGACAGTTAAGACATAAGTTATTGTTTAAGAACTACATATTTTATAAATTCGTACTACACACATTTTTAACAAAGTTTATTAAATAATAATAGCTTAAAAGTGTATGTTTAATTTCAAAGTTTGGAAACATTAGTCGTTTTCAGGAAAGAAGCCTTAGAAAGAAAAGAAAATCTCAAAGTGCCTTAAAGTTAGAAGTCATGGTTATAAGATGCGGGTAACTTTTTTGGAGGTCACGTGTACCGATAAAAATTTAAAATACATTAAAACTCAATTAAAAGTAGGCACAAAACTTTACTAAATTGCCATGTTTATTCCTCGACTATATAGAATTGAGAATATATTTGACTGTTTGCTTTGGATAAATTCAAAAAACAGATCTAACAATTCGTTTACCAATTATATTACTTTTTATCGAGAAGGTATAAGTTATACTTGTTTTATATCAACCTATACGAGCAATGCTAGAGTAGGTTAAGTACTATTCAACAATTTATGAGGTACTTAACCTTTGGTTAAAAATATTATAATAACATTTACAGTAAGTTTAGCCAAAATTACGTATGTGTAAAAATCATATCGCAAAACCGATAAAAACAAATTAAGGTGCTCTCAACATCTAAAACGTGATTCGATAAACGAGCTTCTGAATAATCCTATCTATTGAGCAAAGCACGTTTGCCGTCGGAATCTATTTGAATAATTCCCAGCTTTGTTTGTGTAACGTTATTAAAGTAGATCTATTAATATTATATAATAATAAAACAGATTGAATATCTCCCGCTAATCTTACAAGATACCTTTCCAAAAACGTTGTCAAAACGTCATTGATTTTGTAAGTTACTTTGTCTGGGCAAGATTTTCTGCAAATCCACGGATAGCGCGTATTTTCATGTGATCAGGACATGGACTCACTCCTACAATCCCAAATCTCCGAAACCGAATCCCAACAACCAAAGTCTAGATTTATGTAAAAGTTGTTTAAGATGACGGTTACCGCGGATGGTGATTTTAAATTAATCCAAATAGAAGGCGAAAAGGCCAGAGCCTCCCCTTTGTTTTCGATTGCCTTCGACCATCAGTTAGTAAGGTACACTAAAAGTATCTATGCGATTTATTGAAGCTTCAACACCTTTTTTTGACTGGAGTATATGTTTATATCGCTGCTGCTCTCATACTACGTGCGAATTTGATACGACACAACTTAGTATAATATATGAAAGTCCTAAGTGAACAGCAAGGCTATTTGCAGACGTTCACAGCTCTTGCACAGGTTAGATATATTATGAGCACGTTGCAAGGTGAGGGTAAACTGCGCAACTCACCACAACAATACGTCGTAGTCGTCCTTCAGACACGTTATGTAAGTGCACATTATAGCTATTATAAACATGCGAAAATATCGGTGAGACATCTTGACTTTTCCGGTTATAGTGATCGCTATAGCAAATTATTCTTACATTTTTTATCAAAGCAAACAATAAGATTCTGCTGTGTATATTTTTCATTACAAAAATAAAGGAGTACAATGCTTTCAAAAACGAAATACAGAGTAGGTACTGTTATAACTAAATGTTATCATTTCTTTTTATGTAGTTTTCTATTGAGTTTTTAATCAACGTTTTAGTTTGATTATTACAGTTAATTTTTATTACCCCTACATAGTAGTACCTGCTAAGAAGAATAATTTAAAAGTGGTCCCTGGCCTTGATTAATCAGCTAAGCTTACAGTGAGAAACAGAATTTAAGTATTTAAGGTTTCTCTTTTTGTATCAATTCTTCCAATTCGCTTTTGAGAAACAGTAAGTCCTTACACGAACGGGCGCTTTTTAACGCCACGTTGGCGGCTTACGACTGATGTCTTACCTCTACTACGACATGTTCCGCTCGCCCAGCGCTCAAAATACAACACTACCTACCTACCTAGCTTGTGTTTTATCTGGACGCTTTTTTAACGCTCGATAAGAGAGCTCCCGTGCGAATGAGAGATTACCTAGGCCGATCGTTGCTATAGATTCAATGGGAGTTATTTTCCTATTGAGTCAATTAATCGGTAGGCACATAGGCCCAACAGGAAACAACCATGTGAAATATCAAGTTAATAGTTTAGTTCAGTACCTACATTTTTAAGCACGATAAACTGCTTTTATAAAGGTACTTTGTAATCATAAATTTCAGAAAACAGTATAGAACACTATGCACAAGTATGAAGTACATTTACTTACATAAAAGTATGTTGAGCTCGGTTCCGATAAGCTATAACAATGGTGATTCGAAACGAGAATTTCCATTGGATGACAAAGTACATCCAGTTCAAATTATTTTGTCCTTATTATTTTTAAACCTTTCAGTATTGATTTGATTCACATAAAACTAAATAATACGACGAAGCTTGAAGTTAATTTTTCAAACCGAATAATCCACACGAAAGAAACCTACAATTTTTGGTATGGTAATAATGTTTTAGTTCAGTAACATCTCGATAAAATAAAGTTTGAGCCAAACTAGAGACGTCGTTTGCATTGTTCTTTTCTATGAAGTTGTAAGTTGAACAACGTTTTTTTAAATATCCCACGTAGGGTTTCTTTACATTTAATCGACGGACGATAGATAAATGTTAGGCATTGGGTCTTATATTACCGTAATAAAATTAATAAGAGCACAATATCTATCACAAGTGTTCGGTTGCGTTTTATTACATTTTTTACTTTAATTTAATTATATAACTTATAGTGATGTTGCATAATTTTAATGATAGAATAGTATATAAAATAATAAACTAAGAAGAATAACTATAACGTTACGTGTCTTCAAAAAATATCTTTACCACGTGAACATGAGCTGCGGTTTCCTACGCACCAATAGTAGGTCACGCGAGTCGCGTGTCAAGTACACGTGCTCGCTTCGGCGGCGCGCTACGCCCCTCGACCCTGCTCCCCCTCCTCACCCTCCCTCCCCAGCCGCGCTCACCGCTTTTGCCCCCTCCACGCCCACGTAAACAATTCATTATAACACTTGTACCTAACAAGGGCTAATAAATCTAAGTTTACACACTTACATATTTCATTCCAATACTTTAATTAGGTTTGATGACAGTTTTATTTAAAAGTTATTTAGCATGATGCTAAGAATTTCACAAAATAACAAGGCAGCACTTAAACAAAAGTATTGCCCAAGCCCACACTGGTTGGGATTATACATAGTATTTAGAACAATAGTTTACTTTAGTTTAGTTTCTTTCTTTCTTTCAATAGTTCCTGTAATATTTTGTTTTTGTTTTGACCAATTGAAGAAACATTTTGAATATTTTCCATATGGGGCACTCTAGGGTAAACATGGCTATTTTGAGTTTAATAGGCTTATGTTTATAATAATTTCAAGCTGCAAAAATGTGCAATTATCCCACCACAAGTAATTTTAGAAAAGTTAATGTCAATTGTCACATAATAATCCTTTTCAACAGTGTTATCTCTGTTTTGTTAAGCTTTCTTTATTAGAACCAAAGCTATTTTCTATATTAATTCATTTTAGGGTGTCACAATAATGTATATGTCTCTCACAGGATCAAGAAAATTGTATCTAAAATCTAGCGCAAATAATCTTTGTATTTAACTATTTAACATCAGGTGGAAGTGTGGTTAATTACTTTTTTTTTAATAAAGTACTTACAATTTTTTATTGAAAGTCACATTCTCACAAGAATTGATGCTACTGAATGTATGAAGCTCAAATCGACTGAGTAAAAAAGAATATAAAATGATTACTTTAGGAGTTATGATATATATATATAATTTGCTTACTAATTATACTGTAGAATTAAACTATATAGTATTTTATTTACATATTCAACTTTTACATTGCACTCAAACATATCCCTAAAATCTCTTAAAAATACAAAATGCCAAAATACAACTACAATTAAAATTGTATTACGATGTACACTAAGTCATTTACTATATATGTACGTATTTAATTAAAATTTGATATACACGAAAAAACACATAACATCACTCGACTGCATAACATACACATAGTAGAAGACTCGGCTATTATAATTGTAATTAATTCGATTTGTCGAATTCGAGTACTTATATGTTGTAAATGTACTTTTGTATTTCTGGATATCACATCAATAATTTAAGTTGATAGAAATACTTACGAAGAAGACGATATTTCCGCTTAGCTAGCTGTCGTACCATAAGTATAAACAATTACAGTTGCAAGTGCACTTTACACTAAAATAGATATTTGTTTTTAAGAACGCGAAACCACACACTATTCAGGTAGAACAAGATAGTTTTATTTTTTATAAAATGGCAAAGTAATTTTACAGAATTTATACAACCAGCTATATTTCTTAAACTTTTTTAACAATTTTACATAAAGAAAAATAATGCATAACTCAGTTTAATTTGTCTAATAAACACATACGTATTTCTTCCTACGACAAATTAGTATTGTCTATAATCTGACAAGGATCTTATTGGTTTGGTCTGTCCAAAGAGTATAGTAAGTATACTATGGGTCCTGTCTGCTGTCTTTTGGCAGTTTTTTTGACATTACACACAGGGTTACCAGTAATCAAAAATTGACTTACTCCTTAAGAAAGTCGTCCATGTTGCCAATCCAAACAATTAATTTGCAACTTATAACCAATTTCGTAATATGTAATTCCTTCCTATTTAAATTGATACATTCAAACAAACTAGCAAATTGTACTTCAGGACAAAATAACATGCATATACATATGAAATTTCGAAATAATGCAATATTAAACTGCGCAGCTGTCACTCCTATACATAAGTAATTGTGGATAACTCAACTGAAATTGATGACCTGCAGATCAGTTCACGGCTTACATCAAAGAGTATATAAAATAAGAGACGGGACTCTTGACTAATTAGATACACAAACGGAGAATAAAAATTGACATTTTCAATGCTAGCAATATTATGAACAAGTCTACGATGCTACCAACCTTAAAAAATCAATCTGTCAATTTCCGTTTTGACGTTTGAAAGTATTATTCGAGAGAAAACAATTTTGGAAAAATAAAACAATTTCGTTAATTGCAACTTTATTTAATCTTCTGACTAAAGCGAACATATTTTAAGAACGCAACATAATGCTCATTGCTTTCGTAATAATACCATTATTGTTTAGTTCACCAACAAAATACCCCAACTTTGATAAATGCTTATTTGTTCCAGTTTGTTTATTTGATAGATCATATTTTCTGATAGAACTGGAGTAGTAGTGCCACTCTTGTCTTGAGAAATAGAATAACACTGGAAAGAGATTAGCTCCTCTCTGTTGGTAAAATATTTAGAAAATTGCTAACAAGACAATATGCATTGAAGCAAAACAAATCGTCATCATCAAGCTCACTATACGGACACACTATACTCCACTGAGGAGCTCGGAGCCTACCCTCAAGAATGCGACTGGGTCTTATTCAACAATGCAGAGCCAGTGAGGGTTGGTTGACTTCGCACATATCTTTGAATTTCTATGCAGTTGTATGCAATTTGTAATTACAGTAAGAATGTCTGATGGATGTTATCATGAAATTCGAAGAACTCATTACTATATAGCGGAGATCGTACCTGGATATGTAAAATATGATCCGGTCAAGCGCCAACTGCACTGCCGACGCTCCAAATAGTCCCCTAATCCAAACTTTTCCTATCAAAACATTGCAAATGTACAAGTCATGTTAAATATTATGTACTGTAAAAATAGAATACAATATTTAAGTTTTACTTCTCAAATAAATTCATAAAATTATCATGAACCTAAAGATTCCGCATTTTAACTCTTTTGTTATTACTATTCTCCATAGATGTGTAACCTATAGATTCCTTAACGAGGAAAAATAATGAGCTTAGGAGGCATCATTTTGGGGAAAAGTACCTGTGTTGAAATTTAAATTACTTGTAAGAAAATTGTATACAATCTCTGTTTATTTTTTATTACTTAGTTCAAAAAAAGTTTAAGATATATAATAAGTTGTGATATTTGTAAAATCCAAATTTAATAAATTAATTTTGTTTCATATTTTTCACTAAATGGTATTTTTTTTTATCTTTTGTACTTGATACTTAATTCCCTATATTTTAGTATATTTTTATTTTCTATACACTGCATTTCCCAATTTCGAGAAAATCTTATTATGTTAGTGTATATTTTATATTAAAGTCTAATACATATTTCTAAAAATTGTCATAATATTAACATGTATACTAATATAAAACACTAAATTATAATATAAATAATCTATAGGTTACACATCTATATATCAATATTGACATTAATATAGTTATTATGCTAGTGCATTTTCTGCAACATGGTGACTCTTTTTTAGATTTGCGGTTAAACTACTCCATATAATAAGTTATTTTTCAAAATTTAGTTTAGAATTACAATATTTTAAACAGTCAAACTTTGTAGCACAGATGTTGCAGCGACATGCAGTCAGTAATTCTGAAGCAGATTCCTTCATTTAATAATTCTGTAGAACTTGAAGAGGTGCAATCATTCATCTGCAACAGTATGAAATGGTAATTAATTGATTCAAGTCTACAACATAATCAATTTAATTATTGCTTTTCACCTAGTTACATACCTTATTTAAAAAAAAAACTGGTTTTCTTTGATTATAGAGATTTCTCCCCATTTACTTACAAAACTTCTTTGAAATTCAATTCTCTACAATGATGGAACTCACAAACCATGTAAAAATGATGATTAGTTTTTACAGGTACAGATTTTTTGGAAATTTTATTGCCTGCCCATTTTTGTGAAATGTCTATGATAGAATCATAAATCAAATTAGTTTGAAAAACTTGTCATGACATGACCAATTTACAGTTTAATCTACAATATTTGAAACAATAATAGAGAGATATTCTACACACAACCTAAATAATGTTTAAGTTAATTTTTATTATTGAATCTTTTTCATGTTTCGAGCAAACCATATTATACTAAATATCAAGCCAATTTAAAAGGTTAAAATTGTTCAAATAATTGCTGGAAATATGTGCTTTGGGATTATTAATACTTAATATTTACCACTTACCATGTAGAATTTGGCATATGTCTTGTACTTACTTTTATGTTATTTACCTCAATTTTTGTTGTAAATTTACTTTTCAGCAATCAGCAAAAGGTCATAAGTTCTAGTTCAACATTTAATTCTTTTAAATATGAATAGAATGTAAAATTTTATCTTTGTTCAAATTCTATTTCTGTGAATCCATAGATTATGTTTTCTACTGCTTTTTACTTGTTTCACACCTAAAACAGAAAGTATTAAAAATTGATAAGTTGTTCATACAATGTTCTTCCTTTGTAGTTAATTATAACTGTAAAGCTTATTCTTATAATTTAATAAGTTACAAAAACTTCAGAGGTTGGATGTAACTGCTGGTAACTTAGTTTAAATAGAAAAATAAACTATTACAGATATCTTTATTTTTATTAAATCACATATTGTTGATGTTATTCATAATTTTATTATAAACAAACCTAAAGATGTGTACTTTTTAATAATAAATTTCGGTCAATTTGTCATTGGAAAGTGAGTCACACTCCCATTTTAAAGTCCAACCCAAACACAACAATAAACAAAGTCTTTTAACATTTGAATAATAATTTTATTTGGAACAACTTTACAACAGCGAATCAAACCAAGTTTTCATAAAATCAATTTTAATCTTTAGGAAATGATCATCATGAGTATTATTGCTATAAAGATTGCTGAAGATGAATATATTGCTATGAAGATTTTTTTTCGGGGTCTTAATTTATTTCATTAAGATATTAAAATTGTTTCACATGTTTAGAGTTTTGTAACAGGTATGCTGACACTCACAATTTTTATAAAATCACATGCTATAATAGAAAATATTTTCGCTTTTTCGATGTTTTTTTATGGTATTAAAAATGTTCCAAACCTAACCTTTCCAGTTTGCTTTTGGTGTTTTATTACATGTTATAAACTTAGCTTTACTTATCCTGCGGTTTTCTATTGTTCCAAACTTAACTTACCCTATGTAGTTTTCTTGTTTTTTTTTCAACTTAAGTTACGACTCCAAAAAAAAACTTCCAAAACAGTGTAAGAATATTCCCTATCGTTTAAGACATATGTAATGGAAATTTGGCTTGATTCGGTTTTATAAAGCATTACCTTTTATGTTATTTAGAACTTCTATACAATTTCAAAGCGAACTTTCATTTCATTGACTTTTACTAAGTAATTACGAATATAAAAACATTTAGCAACATTTTAACGTAAATATGGAATAAGATTTATTTACGTACATAAAATATCAAGTATAGTCATTGATACTTTATTTGATATGTAGTGAGATAGAATAATAGTCAAAACAACAAAAAATACAAAATATAATACTAAAAAACACAATGTAATTACCACATGGTTCTTGGAAATCTTCTCAGAAGAAAACATCAGCTTTCTAACTCTCAAAATATAATACACTTAATCCCACAATTCACACTGAAACTACAATATTCTTACCAAATAAGGTTAGATTTTAAATATAATAATATCATAAAAAGTTTCGTTTGTTATATGAGAGAATGAAAGTTTAATGGC